TATAAGAAACATACAACTAAGGAAATCAACAACGGGGGAAAACCATTACCCTGGACCTTTATTCCAATTGTTTACAATTCAAGCATAGTTAGTTTTTAGTTGTTTATTTATTTTCAATCTTGTCTTCTTAGTGATATTAAACAGATACAGCTAAGCCTTAGTTCTCTGTGGGATTCGACTCTGGACTTATAGACCGGATTATATTTGCAGCGACCGCTTATCCTTTTTAGGACTAGAGTTGGGCGTGATCAGCATTGACCCATGACTAGATGGCGTTATATACGCGTATAAGTGTAAATATATGTATATGGGATATGGAAAAAAGTTACGGCGTTATATACGCACCACCACCTAATCAGCTGGTATATGTTGATGATGTTGCCCATAATGGCCGAGATGATATGATGGGATGCCCTCAGTGGCTTGATGATATTATGTACACCCATACCTATGCATGGCACGACATTTATATGCACGTGCATGACATTATAAACGTTTTAGAATTTACAAAGTTATTCAGATTTAAAGATGTGTCTCAGTACATTTTTCGTACTGACGTCCTATTTCACGGGGCCTGCATTTCATGCCCGCAGGTGCAGGTAGGCAAGCTGACAGTCCCCCTTCTTAGGATCCCTGATCAGCAAGAGTTGGCGTGCTCCAATTGATCCGGAGCTGCTTTTGATTTTGGTACGATACGTTTGTGTGTATATATATATATATGGGTATGATGTGGCTCAGTCCCGTCTTTGTACAGTCATGTTTCTGTTAGAGGTCTGTGGACAGTATGTCTAGTTGGGTTGTATGTGGCCTTGTCGGCTTTCAGTTTTGGATGTATAGTTGTCTATAGCAGCCTTGCCGGCATGCCCACTGTATTCTGCATGTATACGTACATATGCCTTGATGGCAGGTTTCTTTCACGTATATTATTTTCGTAATCTAGCAGATGTTATTCAGGTTCATATCTTAGACGCATGCTTAGGGGTGTTTGACAGGTAGGACTCAGGCACTCGTCGCGGCCCATCGGTTTGGGTCGTGACATAAGGTTCTTTCTCTCAAAGAATTGCATGCAAAAATCACCTTCCATATTTTTAAACGTGAATAGCAACATTAGATGCAAGACAGAAAGAAAATTTCATGGATGGGGTAGCAAATAAGGTGATGGCATATATAAAGAAAAAAACATGCAATATTTCAAAAATCTAAGCAAAACAAGAACTTTTTCAATAGGTATAGGTGAAATTCATTGAAAACATATAGATAAGTCAATATACAAAATTTGAGGAAGATTGGAGGTGATTTCAACTGGTTTTGTACCAAAATTCGTAATTAAATCGAGTTCAAAAAATATTTCTGCGACACATGTATCACGCATGTATCTCACACACAGGTATACATGGATATACATGTTATACACAATTGATACAAATATGATACATATGTGATACACAGTATGCTACACATATCATTTTTTTTTCATGTTCAGTTTTTACTTCGAATTTTTAATTCAAACCACCTCAAAACTTCACCAAATCATACCTAAACTGAGATTCAAGCTTCTTAAGATGTACCCAATCTATTCTAATAACACCCACTCAAAAGAAAGCAAAAATTTGTCATTTTTTTGCTACAAATAGTTAATTGGCTAATATTAGTAATATTTTATGAATTGACCAATTTTTGTAATGAGCTACTTATAAATGGACATAACTAGTAGTTTCCCATGAAAAAATCCCCCCAAAAAAAAAAAGGTTTTCTTTCGTACAAAGCCCAAATGGTATCACATGAGCAATCACATTTAGATGGAGTGAGCTAAGAATAAAAGTTTTTATAAGAATTATCTTTTTCGTTTTGCAAGCACAAGTCCTCTTTTCTCTCTCCGAGCATAAGTAACCATATCCAACATTTAATTGTGCATGATTTCCCAAAAAGAAACTGAAAAAATAGTTAGCAGTAACGTGTACGTATAGCAGAGGCGGAGTTAGCTCGCTGATTATGGGGCTCGGCCGATTCAGTAAGTTTGGTCCAAACTTTGTATTTGTCCGAATAAATCTATTAAAAACATATAAATTATTAATTTAAAATCTAATAAGTTATAAAGATTAGAATCTCGAACCAATAAACTTTAAATTTCGGCGTTGCCTCCCGTGAGCCGTGAGGATATACGATGCTAGCTTATCACAAATTGAAACAATATTTTGGTATTTGCAACACCTAAGGGTGTGACCTAGTGATCAACGAAAGCGGATTTTGGGAATCAGGGTTCAAATCCCAATACAATAAAAAAGTTACTGTTAGATGATTAGTATTTTGATACCTATGTTAGTGAGCAGATAACCAGTGGAATGCTACAGGTATACGCAAGTTGATTCGGACACATCGTTATTACAAAAAAAGGATTTTTACCTAGCTATACTATGATAGCAACTTATTAATTTATTTTCTCTAGGTTTTGTAGTTTTCAAAAAGTACCTAGGTTTTTTTTACAAATTGTATACATTCCTTCCTTAAAAATCTCTCATCCCATTATTAATGCCTTTAATTAAGGGATTCAACTATATCCTTTCCTTTTTTTCACACTTCTCCTCATTTCATGCTTCCTAATTTTTTCAATACGCATATCTCCTCTTCTCTCTCTCTTCAATAGTTGTGCGTCTTCAGCAAGAAGCTACTAACTTTGCTTCAACTGTAGAATAATTTGGTTGGAATCTTCAAATACTAGATTAATGTCATATTCTATGTTCCTATTATCTTTATAATGTTAGGAAAGTGATATCTAATCTAACAAATCCAATAGCACAAAACTGCTTTCCATAATAGCAACCAGAAAGAAACTTTTTCATGTGATGTCAAAAAATCAGTTGCTACAAAGTTTCTTCAACAATTCAAAAATCGTTAAACTCTAGCAAAATTATTACTAATAGGATAATAGCCCATAACTTGCAATTGCTCATTACCATATATAATTATCATACATTTGTGATACAATTTCTGCAACAATTAGAATACAAATACAATTATGATACAATCCGTGATACAATTCTGTTCTTCCTCGTCTTCTTCAAGTTTCAATCACAACTCTAAACTTAAATTCTGAAATAATATTGTATTATAATTGTATTAGGTATTATTTTAGGTATTGATATATCAGATACAAATTAAATACAACTTTGATACAATTGTGATACAAATTCTGAAACAAATATGATACAATTATAATACAATCGTGATACAATTCAGAAACTTTTCTTCTTCGAGTTTCAATATGAAATTTTACTTAAAAACAACTCTAAACTTAACCAATCTCCCTCAAAATTGAGATATAAACTCCAAGTTATATTCTCAACCGTTTGCAAGAGCACCCAATCCAAACAAATCAAAAATTCGTAAAACTCATATGTTGAATTCAAAGCTTTTTAATGGTTGTCAATGGAGAACTCTCTGCTACTGCAATTTTTGAGATGATGTCGATGAATTTTTGTGAAGAGGATGAGATTTGGGTTAATTTGTATGAAAGAGAGAAATATTTCAAAATCTTTTTGAAAATGGGATGAAAACGTGATTTTAGGGACTTTGTATAACTGAAAACATGAGAGTGAGAGGGGGAGGGGGGGCTGACGTGGGGGAGAGGGGAGAGGGAAGGGTCGTATCAGTTACATCCTAGTTTTAATGATGCTCTCTTTATTATGGTTTTGTATATAAATAGTAAATATAGATAGAAAATATAATTTTTATAAAACCTAAAGAAAAGTGGTAACTAAGTTTCTATTATAGTATAGCTAGGTAATTTCCCCACTTTTAATAAGGTGCATTTTGATCAAAATCTCTTATTCGAATTACAAAATCAGCCTTATGATATTATTTAATCTCTAGGACTTCTATTGAACTTTGTTATTTTGTATAACTTTCCTAACTGGAATGATTCATCAAATGATCTATATATGGCAGTGTTTTTAAAATCAACTTATTTTCAAAAAAGTATTTTTTTTTAAATTGCTTTTCAGAAAATACTTTTGGTGAGAAGTATATTGTATTTGGCTAATCAATTAAAAAAGCACTTTTGAGCAGCAATTAGTAGTTAACCAAGTTTTCAGAATGTGTTTTTAATAGCCTATTTGGTCAACCTTCAAAATCAGCTTATTTGGAAAGTGCTTTTCAAAGAAGTACTTTTGGTAAGAAGTATTTTGTGTTTGGCTAATTAATTTGAAAAACACTTTTGAGCAATAATTAGTATTTGGTCAAGCTTTTAAAAAGTATTTAAGTTTATTTTTTTCAAAAGTATCTTTTAAAAAAGTACTTTTCGGAAGAAGATATTTTTTTCTGCTTCTCAAAACTATATATGCCTCTACTCAAAATCACTTTTTTCCTTCTAAAAGCTTGGCCAAATATTTTAACTTTTGGCTGAAAAGAAACTTGGCCAAACGGGTTATAAGTGTATTTTTGAAAAATACTTTTCAGAAAAGTACTTGAAGAAACTACTTTTTACAGCTTCTCACACTTCTCCTCAAAAGCTTGGGGTGGGTCTCTTACAATGAAGGGATTTGGTAATTGCAAACAGAGGTAATGATTTTTGGGTGGGTCTCTTACGATGAAGGGATTTGGTAATTGCAAAGAGAGGTGGTGGTTTCGGGATGGGTTTCTTACGGTGAAAGAATTTTGGGTAAGTATTGATTTTGAGTATCTTAAATGTAGGATATTTTGTGTAACTGATACCCACTATTTAAAGTATATCTCATTTCCTCTTTTTTTAAGGTTTTGTATAAACTAGTAAATATAGGTATATAAAGTAATTAATAAGGAACCTAAATAAAAGTAGTAAATAGGTTTCTATTATAATATAGCTAGGTAAAAATCCCTATAAAAACCTCTGGTTTTTACTCAAGATATGAAACTTCATTATGGGCCTACTGTAAATCTCTTTTCGGCCCAACCAACTTCATTCACCGGTATATAGGCCTAGGAATTCAGTATGTTGTTTTGGCCCATTAATGATCTTCAAAAACCCTAAAACTGGCGATTCTATAAATAATCTATTTTCCGCTCAACAATTCTAGGGGTTTAAGCTCCCCAAGGTAGCCGAATACCGCTAGAAAATGAGCTTCTTCTTTGTTACTAAACCAAAGTGAGCTTCTTCTCTATTGCTTTAATTTTTATGTTGTCCAATTTGCTCTCTGTTCTTTGTTTTTTCCCCCCTTAAATTCTTGTGAATATTGGGTGCCTAATATTTCTATTAAACCCGTAGCAATTTATATGCTACAGCGGATGTTATATGTACCCTTATAGTTATTGCCATTCTCAACTTAGTCAGCTGTGTTTTCTTCTGTTGCAGTTGATTATCATGACTGGTAAATTTTAAACTTTGTTTCATAACTATGATACTTTGATATAAATTATGTTTAGTGTTGTTTTTAGTTTTACTACCCTTTAATATTATGTAATTAGATGCTTAAATGCCGAGGAGGAGCTATCTATTATTTTCTCTCCTGCTTGTTAAGTGCAATAGAGGGTGTTCTTAGTTCCCTATATTTATTTCCATTCTTCACTTTGTCAGCTGTAATTTTTCTTGCAGTTGATTTTCATGAATGGTACAGTATTATTTTGCACCTTATAACAACAACAACAACAACAAAAAATCCAGTGTAACTACAAGTGGGGTCGGGTCTGGGTGGGGCAGTGTGTACCTGCCTTGTGAAAGTAGAGACATTGTTTTCAATAGACCCTCGGTTCACGGGAAGTATAATCACATCACTTGTTAAAAAGAAAACAATGGTTTGTAGATTAATTATTAGCTTTGATATATTACTGTACAATTGTTTTTGAAACTACAAAAAGTTGAATTTCGTGTTCTTATAATAGAATTTGTTGATACAAATTTCTTTGATGGAAAAATTCTACCTTTTTAAATATATTTTTTGAGAAATGGCACTTTAGGATTATACTATTTATTCTAGAATAATTTTGATATTTTGCGCAGCCCTTAAGATCGCCTTCCACTATGCACCATGGAAGCGTTTTGAGTCATAGCTGCGCTACATTAACTGTATATACACACTTCTTTAATGTACTTGTACATATTAAGAGTGTGGTATATGCTGGAGGTTCTCTTTAGGGTTTTCCTTTAGGGACTCTCCTTTTGCCTCTCCTAATTATTTTTGGGTCATTTCCCTTTTTGGTTCTATCTTTCCCATAAGGGATTATAGAACCAAAGATACTTTGAATGGCTCTAGCTGAGGTGGGGTGTACATTATAATGTAATTTTTATTAGTATATTTATTCTTTGTTATGGCAAGAAAGATGAAAAAATTAGATGTGCTAGAGGTGAATTCCTTTATGAGCTTAACATCGAGGCTTATTGATATTCTGACTTGCCTTTTGTGAGCTATTTTCTCCCTTGTAATTTATATGTCGTAGTGTGATTTATATGGTGTATCTTTGCCATATTGATAGATTATAGAATGAAAGATACTTTGGATTGCTCTAGTAGATGGAGTGGTGTACATTTTATTGCAAGTTTTATTAGTAAGTATATTCCTTGTTATGAAAACCGAAAACTGAAGCAAGTTTTATTAGTAAGTATATTCCTTGTTATGGCAAGAATGATGAAAAAAATTAGATGTGCGAGAGGTGAATTCCTTTTTGAGCTTAACATCGAGGCTTATTGATATTCTGACTTGCTTCAGTTTTCGGTTTTCCTTATATTTTGGTTCTTTTTGCCTGGTTTTTGTTGTTGTTGTATTGGAGGATGCGATACATGTACGGTGGAATTTTTGAAGGATTCGAACAACATAGCATTTTATTGCATGCCTTTTTTGATGTCTTTGCTCTTTAGTTATGGTAAGAATGATGAAAAAAATTAGATGTGCGAGGGTGAATTCCTCTGTGAGCTTAACATCGAGGCTTATTGATATTCTGACTTGCCTTTATGGATTACTGCATTGTTTCAATTTACATGACATAGTCTGCCTTATAGGTGTATCTTTGCCATATTGTGGGATTATAGAACCAAAGATTCTTCGGTTTGCTCCAGAAGACGTGGGGAGGGAATTGGCAAATCTACTCATTTGTTACGGCAAGAATGAAGAAAAAAAATTAGATGTGCGAGGGGTGTATTCCTCTATGAGCTTAACATCGAGGCATATTTATAGTTGACTTGCCTTTATGGATTACTCCACTGTTTCAATTTGCTTGCCGTAGTCTGGCTTATTGGTACTTCGGATTGCTCTAGTAGATGCAGGCTTTATTTGTAAATCTACTCTTTTTTTATGGCAAGACTGATGAAAAAAATTAGATGTGCGAGGGGTGTATTCCTCTATGAGCTTAACATCGAGGCATATTTATAGTCTGACTTGCCTTTATGGATTGTACTCCGCTGTTTCAATTTGCTTGCTGTAGTCTGACTTATAGGTACTTCGGATTGCTCTAGTAGATGCAGGCTTTATTTGTAAATCTACTTTTTTGTTATGGCAAGAATGATGAAAAAAAATTAGATGTGCGAGGGGTGAATTCCTCTATGAGCTTAACATCGAGGCATATTTATAGTCTGACTTGCCTTCATGGATTGTACTCCGCTGTTTCAATTTGCTTGCCGTAGTCTGACTTATAGGTACTTCGGATTGCTCTAGTAGATGGGGAGATGTACAATTTATTGCAAGCTTTTTGGTAAATCTACTCTTTTTTTGTGGCATGGATGATGAAAACAAATTAGATGTGCGAGAGGTGAATTCCTCTATGAGCTTAACATCGAGGCATATTTATATTCTGACTTGCTTTTATGGAATACTCCACCGTTTCAATTTGCTTGCTGTAGTCTGACTTATAGGTGCTTCGTATTGCTCTAGTAGATGGGGAGATGTACATTTTGTTGCAAGCTTTATTGGTAAATCTACTCTTTTGTTATGGCAAGGATGATGAAAACAAATTAGATGTGCGAGGGGTGTATTCCTCTATGAGCTTAACATTGAGGCATATTTATGTTCCAACGTGCCTTTATGGATTACTCCTTTGTTTCAGTTTGCTTGCCGTGGTGTGACTTATAGGTACTTCGGATTGCTCTAGTAGATTGGAAGATGTACATTTTATTCAAGCTTTATTGGTAAATCTACTCTTTTGTTATGGCAAGGATGATGAAAACAAATTAGATGTGCGAGGGGTGAATTCCTCTATGAGCTTAACATCGAGGCATATTGATAATCTGATTTGCCTTTATGAAATATCTTCTCCATTTTAATTTATATGGCATAATTTGGTAGAGCATGATGTATTTCAATTTATACGAGAATGTTGTTACTTTCAAATTTTCTACATAATCTTACCAATCTTGAAATGTTCCTTCAAGAATTGAACATCATTGTTAATCTTAATTTTTAGTTGTTTGACTTCTATATAAATCGTATATATATTTCTTGCTTGTCATTGGCAAGAATGATGAAAGCTACTCTATTTGCAAGAGTTGCAAAGGACTCTGTGAGCTCTAATAGTTATGCTAATGTATTCTGACTTGCCAATCTTGCCCTTCTTGATGTATTAGTTTATTCATTTATTTGCTTACAAAGTGAAGCCTTGTGGTCATGTTTTTAGCCAACATATCCTTTGGTATCGAAATGATTTTGTGGTCTTATATTTCTATTACAACGTACCCAGTGTTATCCCACAAGTGAGGTTTGGGGATGGTGGGATGTACGCAGACTTTACCCCTGTGTGAAGGAGAGGTTGTTTCTGATAATCCCTCGACTGTGGACTCTTGTTAGTAACAAGATCAGAACTTGCAACTGAGAGTTGGAGGCTTTTGTTTGAAGGGTTGTCGAAGGTTAGTGGAAGTGGCGGTTCAGTTCCATCAGCAACAAGACAGGAGCTTGCATTTGATTTTTCAACTGTTACCTTAATGCAGTCATTTGAACATTATTTAGATATCCTTGATTGCAAGGTCAGGTTGAGCATGCTGTGAAGTGAATTTATCTTTTTAATGTTTGTGCAAGTAATGCAAGTGAATGTTTATGAAAGAATTATTCTATGTACTAATATTATTTGCTAAATTTGTCATCCTGGTTTCAAATTTGGTTTAGCTTAAAGAAAAATGAAAGCTCCTCAACTCACTATGAGAAAACGATTTTCTTGTTTGCGTACTTTTCACCTTTCTAATATGTAACTTGTATTGTCCCTGTAACTGGTTATTTGAAACCAAAATCTACAGAAAAGGGAGGGGGCCAGATTTGAGGTCTATTAATTTTCATTGAATACAAGAAAAGGTGGTCTAAGTAGTTCATAGCCCAAAGTCAAAAAAAGTTGAAGGTTTCAATGACTCTTTATTGTTCAACAAATGATACTGGGTTAAAGAATAAGACGAGTGACTAAATCTTTTCTTTAAATTCTAGAAGCCAACATACTAGAAGATACTGTATTTCATGATTTTCAAAGAGAGCAGTCTATTATTGTTAGTTGCTCATACATTCTTGAATATTTGTGTTCTTGTTACTCTTTTGGGTGCATTCAGAATGTAAGAAAATATTTTTCACGAATTATATTTTACCTTAGAACATCTTTTAATCATTTTTGTGTATTTATTGAGTAGAAAATTGATGGCATATGGTACTTTAAAACAAGTAAGACACTGCTTGAAGATGGAACAAACATCTATCTCTCGCCTTACTTCATCCACAAGATAGACTCTATGGTGCACCAGTTACTATTGCAGAGCTGAAGGATTTCTCAGATTGTATACATAGCCTCTTCCTGAATGAAATTCCATGGAAGGGTGACTATTATATTTGGACTAACAAACTAGCAGGAGATGATAGAATTTGCAGCCGACTGGATAGAACCTTGGGAAATGATGAATGGATGCTCCAATATAGTCATGTTCAGAATGAGTATGGAGAAACATTTATCTCTGATCATGCTCCAATGATTCTAAACTTCCAATCCAGAGACCATAATATCAAAGCTCCATTTAGATTCTTTAATGTGTGGGCTGATCATCCAAATTTCATGCCTATTATAGAAAAAGAGTGGAGGATGCAGACTAATCAGGGGAGAATGAAGAGAATATGGGACAAGCTGAAATCACTCAGGCCGCAATTGAGACACCTGAATGATGTAGAAGTTAAAGGAATAACCATGAAGATAGATCAAGCAAGGGCAGCTCTGAAAGTAATACAGCAGCAAATGCATCAACAGTACACTAACACTTTAGCAGCTTCAGAAAAGGAATGTCTGCTAAAACTGGAAAAATGGTCTTTAATAGAAGATGGGGTACTAAGACAGATGTCAAGAATTACTTGGATTAAGCAAGGATACTCGAATACAAAGTACTTCTCAGCTATAGTGAAGGAGAAGAAATGGCAGAAACAGATTGTGGAAATAAATGCTTTGGCAGGAGGCAAACTCACTAACAAGAATGCTATTAGAGAGGAAATAATCAGCATCTATAAATCTCTGATGGGCACAACATCATACTCTCTACCAGCTGTTAGTAGGGAAATTTTGAAGAAGGGGCCTGTCTTAAATCATCAGCAACAAATTGAATTATGTGCATAGGTCACCCCACGGGAAATCTATGAAGGACTTTGTTCTATTGCTGATGATTAGACACCGGGAGTGGATAGATGTAATGCTTATTTTTATAAGCAAGCATGGCCAGTGATTAAACAAGATATAACTGAAGTTATCCTACACTTCTTCAAATATGGTAAACTTTTCAGTCCTATCAACTGTACTTCAGTTACCTTGATCCCCAAGACTCCTAATCCTGCTACTATAAAAGATTTTAGGCCTATAGCATGTTGCACTGTTCTTTACAAGATTATATCTAAAGTCTTAACTGCAAGACTACAGAAAGTTATTGCAACTGTTATTAGTGAGGCACAAGCAGGTTTTATCCCAGGTAGGAGAATTGCAGATAATATCATCCTTGCACACGAGCTTATTAAAGCTTACACAAGGAAGAATATATCACCAAGGTGCATGATCAAAGTCGATCTTCAGAAGGCATATGACTCAGTCGAATGGATCTACATTGAACAAGTACTGGAGGGTTTACAGTTCCCAAGAAAATTCAAAAATGGATCATGGAGTGTGTACAGACAGTACATTACTCAATAGTCATAAATGGAGAACCAAAAGAACCTTTCAATACTGCCAGAGGTCTGAGACAAGGGAATCCCATCTCTCCTTTTTTGTTTGCTGTGGTAATGGAATATCTAAGTAGAAATCTGAATGAGTTGGGAGAAGATAAGCTTTATGCATATCATCAAAAATGTGCAAGACTGAAGATCACACATCTACGTTTTGCAGATGACTTACTGTTATTTGCCAGATGTGACAAAAGATCTATTCAGAAGCTACATGAAAGATTCTTAATATTCTCTAAAGCTTATGGCTTGCAAGCAAATCTAGCCAAAAGTAATATCTATTTTGGAGGAGTCAACAACTCAATAAGATCACAAATATTGCAAGAGCCGGGATATATACAAGGAGAACTTCCTTTTAAATATTTAGGTGTTCCACTGTCATCCCAGAAACTCACCCTAATTCAATGGCAACCACTGATAGATAAAATTGTTGCAAGGATCTCTTCGCGGATCCAGTTGGTGAAATAAGTTCTTTTTGGCATACAAGCATATTGGTCTCAATTATTTCTATTACCTGCTAAGGTCATTAAAGTAATTGAGGCATATTGTAGAAGTTACGTGTGGTCCGGAACAAATAGTATCACCAAGAGGGCTTTGGTATCATGGGACAAAATGTGCCTACCAAAAGCAGCATGTGGGTTGAATATAACAAATTCGAGATTGTGGAACAAATGTGCACTAATAAAGACCTTTTGGGAACTTTCTCAGAAACAAGATAAATTGTGGATTAGATGGATTCATAGTTATTATATAAAGCAGAGACAAGTAAGCACTATTCCAATCCCACAACAAGCTAGTTAGATGGTGAGGAAATTGCTGGAAGCAAGAGGAGACTTTAGTCATATACATGGCACCCCGCAAAAACAACATTCCATGATCAGACACTGTTACAAGCAACTCTTGGGAACTTATTCTAATGGAAGCACTTCATGACAATAATGCAGCTAGATCCAAGGCTGTATTTACCCTATGGGTATCACTACATGGGAACCTTAATACAACATATAAACTTGCAAAATGAGGACTTAATATTTATCAGACTTATGTTCTATGTCATACCACAACAGAAATAAGTGAGCATCTCTTCCATGAATGCACTTTCTCTCAACATTCATGGGGAAGATTGATGTTATGCTACAAGGACCAATACCTCTGAGAGCTAATGCCAATCAACAGCAATAGTGGCTTCACAACAATGTCAAAGGAAAATCTACTAAAGCTCACCTAGTGAAGCAGGTGTACACAGAAACTATATATGCAATATGGATTGAAAGGAACTCTAGGATATTTGAAAAAGTGAAAAAAAAGGTGGATAGTTTAGCTAGAGAAATTGCTTGTGTGTGTAATGTGAGAGCTTCTGTAAAGATTGGTTGCATACTTAACCATCTGCCTTTCTAGCAAACTGTGATAAATAGGAGCAAGTCTAGACTTGGGTGTAATAGCCAAAAAGTATGATAAGAGTAGTTACATAACTATAGGATCTTTGTTTATAGTTTTAGATTCAACAAGCAGAGTTGTAGCTTGCTGTACTTTGTAAAGTTTCCCAATTGGTAATTAATGAAAATAGTTAGTTACCAAAAAAAAATCTATCTTTCTCAATCAAATGCCGCTATAATTTTTTTTTTTCAATTTTCTTGTCAAACTGTATATCAACTAGGTAGACGCCCAATCAAACAAAATAAGAAAGATAAGAGTCACTATTTTGAAAGCAAAAACATATTATTCTCATAAAATTGATAATAGAGGATATTTACAAGTTTGCTTTTGTCTACCCCGAGGGGTATCTCGATGACGAGCATAATAGAGTCGTAACATCATATCTAGCTACAAACTCCTATGTCCATCAAATTCTCATATTTCCCCCCTTTTGTGATAGTTTCTTTCTCCCAACTTTTTATTCTATCTTAGCGTTACCCATACTCCATGCATCTAGAGTCTCAATTGTGATTGGCTCCGTACCATTATTAAAGGCAAATAAATGTGCCTTGTCGTTAATCGCCAATGTTGGATAAACTCTTGATGTTATGCATGTTTTTCCACCAGCACCAAAACTCTCCACCACTGAATTATCAATCTGTATCCAAAAAATGATTAAAAAAAGTTAACAAACGGACTAAATTAAACAGAGAGAATTGGACATATTTACATAAATTAATGAAAGAAAGATTACCAAACTCCTGAGGGACAACTTTTTGTCGACTAAATCTACATCCACATATCCAGCAAATGAAGGTTTGTACATTGTTTCATTATACTTAAGAGTTGACCTGTCCAAAATAAACAAAATTGAATAAAATATTTAGTCGCTAGTCAATACACATTGATCTAAAATTGTGCTTATAAGAAAGAGAAAATATACATACCTTGTGGCATCAGAGCACATGAGAACTTTGTAATTTTGTTGTGCTTTGAAAACTCTAAAGAAAACAGGTGTGTATTCTTCTAAGTTTTGAGAAGCTAATGTTGCAAGACCAAATGGCCCAAGCCCACCTTCAACAGTTGAACCCTTAATTGCACAAACATCTTGTGCATAAAGGTCTGCCCAACTTGGATCAAATGGCTCTGCCTTGTCCAAGCTTGCAAAAGAGAATGTCACTTCAACATCAGCCTGTCATTTTCAAACAAGTTAGATCGGCTATATTAAGTAGGCGTTTGGACAAAAAAATTATTATTTTTTAAAAAAAGTTAGTGTTCGGAGTTAAGTTAAAAAATAGTATTTGGAATTTGAAATTATATCTGGATATGCATTTTACTTGAAAAAATGTTGCAATTTTGTAAGTGGAGAAATTTTTTTTTACAAATTTTGAAATAGTGGTCCAAACTACTTTTTGGTTTTTGAAAAACTCATTTTTGAATTTTTTTAAAAAACTTATAAAATTTCATGGACAACACATTTTCGAAAAAAAAAGTCGAAAAAAGGGAATTATTTTTTTTGGACAAAAGGGGTCGTAAATCTAAGAGATACCAAGTGATTCTATATAAACTCATCCCGAACCATTATTAGACAAATAAAAAATAATAAAAGTTCTACTGATGCATAAATCTGGAAGAAAGAAAAAAAATATTTGAATTAAGAAAAGTAGAAAAAAATTCAACCTGTGCAGGTGTGATTCCTTGAACTTCAACCATCTCCCCTTTGTTCAACTTCTTGTTGCTCAATTGGACCTTTTGTTTTCTTAGAGTTTCTAATTCTTCAACAGGCCATTGAACCAATTGTTTACCACTAGGGTCAAGCCATAATTTACGTGGAATTAATTGAATTCCAGCCCATCCTTTTTCAATATCATCATCGGGCATAATATCTGATTCGTTAGCCCAACCCCAAGTAACTCTTCTATTTTTGCTAGGATCATAAAACGATTTAGATGCGTAGAAATTTCCATAATCAAGTCTCAATCCCTTCCAACTATCGACCGAAGTGTTATCTGGAATATACCTGTCTTTTTTAATATCGTACGTACCAACAGTATAGTACTCAAACCTAGTAAGATCCATACTATTTTTAAGTGCGTACTTAGAATTTTCGTCATATTTATCTAAACCATTTGTACCTTGTAATGATACAGGGAAAAAATCAGGACATTCCCAATTTCCTGTATTAGCAGTTGAATGAAGTGGATGTTTAGCTTTAATCCATCTCATAAAATCTTTACTTCTATACATTATTGCCAATCCTCTCTTTTTTCTCAAACTTCCTATTATAATTCTCCAATGACCATCTTTGCCCATCCAAGCTGTTGTCGGGTCACGAAATTGGGTCTTGTTGATACTGATATCAGGGACGATTAACGGGTTGTTATCGGGCTTGATCCATTCGCGAAGATATGGATCGGATAAGTTAGCCGGGACGGCGTAATTTTGGACTTGGGTTTTATTGGCATCAACTATTCCAGTGTACAAAATAATGGGCTTGTTACCAGGGAGAATTGTTGCTGAACCAGACCATGTACCATATTTGTCAAATGGTTTAGATGGATAAATTGCAGGCTCTAAATTAATCCAATTGATTAAATCTTTTGAGACTGAATGAGCCCAAACAATGTTGCCCCAAACTGATCCGTTTGGATTGTATTGATAGAATAGATGATAGTATCCATTGAAATACATTGGGGCTGTTGGAAATAACATGAAAATCATTAGCATAAGGAATAATTCATGGTTTTATATAATAAAAATTAAACAAGTAGAAAAGAAAGATTTAACTCACCATTGGGGTCTATTGTATGTTTGTTTGATGGCATTGAGAGAGACCATGAAAAGGAAATAATTACAAAAAAATGATTAGCAAAGATAATTGAAACAATTTACATATATCAATAATTAAATTATATATATATATATATATATATCAACAATTTACGTACCATTGATCCAATGCTTTGGTGGTTGAAAATGATAACCAGTTCTGCCAACAGTTTTAACATTTACAGCACTTGAATCTTGTAGGTGGATAAAAACTTTGTGGGAAGCTAAAACGCCATTATTGGATAATAAAACTATAAAGAAGCAAACTAAGATAACTGGCAAAGCCCAACGAGAAGAGCTTTTGTTAAATAACTCCATTTTCTCTATCGGGCTTTGACAGATAGTATTTAATTTATATACTTAATTTTTTTTTGTATTTTTTTTATGTGGAGAAAGAAACTTGGGAATGAAGAAGAATGGAAAGTTTGAGGAGTATTTATAGTGAAAAAGATGGGTGAAAGTTTGTTTTGATTGAGAGATTGAGAGTTGATTTAGGATCTTTTTTTATTAATTAAATGGATAGGACAAATTTTATATTTTTTTTTGGATAATATTTATCTAAGAAAATATATTTTAATGGCAGAGCGGTTGTTTTGGAAAATTTACTGCTTCTTCTTTGCTCAATGAATTTTTACCATCTATTATGAGAACGAGTCTTTTGTCATTTGGTATCCCTTTAATTTCAAAAAATAATTAAAAAATGGGTATTTTTTTCAAATTAACATACATACAATAAATTTTAAATGGACAATTAAGGATTTATATATTCCAAATTTATTTGAGACTTACACATATTTGTTACTGTCGTAACATAAATACAATAACGTGGTATATTATCTCTTATACCAGCGAAAAGTAATAACGGAGTCAATTAATTTAAGTAGTAATGCCGTATATATGCCTATTTAGAAATCGTATGTACCTGATCTATGGTACGTTAAATCATGCGGCCATGCATTAGTTGGTGCTATTTTATGATTTTTGTTACAATTACG